TGAAAAAAAAAAAGAAAATAAAAACCTGACGTGTTTAAGTGAATAGAAAATTGAAGAGTAAACGATTCTTGACCTCATATTAAAAGTAATTGCATGAAAAGAACTCCCCCTATATAGCTAAACAACAAATTTTGCTATGGAGTCATCGAATAGCTCGAGTTATGAAGCCATCTATAATTATTCTTCACATTGGACATGTGTCATCACATAAACTAATGGATGACTCCATAAGGAAGCTATCCGATGGCTCGATAGAATTTCTGCTAAAAAGACGATGCCTCTCGTATTCATTCGTGTTACTCAGACTTCTATGATCTCGGCTACAAACCTCAAAAAATTACCATGACCATGAGAACTACCAAGATCCATTAAGGTTAAAAAAAATCATTTTTGGGGCCTAACATAGCCTGCAAATAAAATTAATGCTAGTTAGAAAAATCTGTTACAAAAAGGGGTGTCCAATACAAGATTGAGTTAAGCCTAAAGGAAACTTTAGAGAAAATGTTGTCCAAAATTTCTTGCACCAGTTTCAGTCCACAACATGATTCACTATTTCCTCTGCATCTTAAACCTCGAAACAGGTTTAGATCCACGAGTACCACTTTGTTGTCCCGCCAAATGCAACCCGACATTATGAGGATGCTCCACAATTGTGCCAGTAAAGGCCTGTCATAATATGACACCAGTAATGAAGTTATGAAAATGGCAGTAGGGGAAAAGTACAAACATAAAACATATGGAAATTAGCTCAGATCAAAATTCAAAATATTATTAAAAATTTGCAGAACCTACGGAATATCATTCAAATATAACAGAATACCATGCTTGCTGCGGTAAGAGGAGATTGAACGTTCTTCTCTACTCGAGGGGGCTCCAATGCCTTGCTCATGGTAGTGTTTTCTGGTCCTGGATCATCCGTATTTGAAGGCCCGTCTAAAATTAGAAACCGTACGTAGTCAGAACTCAGACCCATCCAAATTAGAAACCATCATATGTTACAATCAAGTGACACACATAGCAGCAAGCAAATGTGTATGTCCTCAGCCTAGCTATATATGAAGGTAAGTTTACCTTTAGATACTGTTGGAACCTCTAATGCTTCCACCTGAATCATAAAGGCGAAAAAATATTACAATCCCAGGTAATATGACAAGAACTTAAAAAATCGCACGAGTACCTTTGAACTTCTAACTTCTTGATTGATTACGCTAGCTGACTCGTTTTGTGTCTGCTCATCCTCATTGGATTCATCATTCGCCCTTTCAGCAGCAGCTTCCTCTTTTTCAAGTTCATCCATACGCCTTTGCATGCGTCTAAAATCTTCATCGTCATCTTCATCTGCACCTTTTTTACTGTCCCTCTCAACAGGAGCGGAGTCAGTGCTTTCATACCCTACAATTTTACCAAATGCCACTGTAAATCGTAGTTCATTCTATTTCCACAAAGAATGCATAATAAACAAATTGACATAACGACTTATTATAAATAAAAAATAAAGTAAGTAGAAACCAACCGACTGGTGTCTGAAAAGAATCGTCCTCAACATAATCTTCCCTGATCTCTACAATGCCCTCCTATATAAAATATAAAAGATAGCAAATTTAGCAAAGGTGGGCAAACAGGAAATACTAGTCAAATTCATCAAAAACAATTTAATGATAATTAACAAGGAAGCTCTGCACGGATAGTGAATTCATCAAGAGCACACACCATTCGTAATTTACATTTATATCAGAGATTGTAATGTTGATTGCGTAAAACTGTATGATCTGGACATTATGACGGCCAGTCAAACTATTTTTTGGCAAGCTGTGGCATCAGTGAATCAATTAACAGAAAAAGAAGTACGAATTGACCTAATTGCACTAATATGTTGATGGGACCGGTTCCATAGCAAGACACAATTGTCTCATTGTATTATGTTAATCTGTGAAAAACGACCAGATCCAAGAATGTTTCTATCAGATTTTCGTTCATGATCTAGGTAGTTAATACATGTCATAAAAGCTCCCCGCATGTTTGGTTATTTACTTGTCATATAAAGCCCATAATTAGATTTCATTCATGGTGCACCACAATGGAGCATGGAAGCACTGCATAGTCCCTTCATAAGAGCAACTGTGATAGCAAGTAGGAAGTCTTGAAGAGCTATAGGTATACAAAATCTCAAATAGTGGAACAGGATACTATGCTAGCCTAGTGATGCACTGAACTTGATCAGACTACAACAACATTAGTTGTATGTCGATTTACTGTGCCCGATCAACACTCACTAGTCACTACAGCATAAATCAAAACCTCAGGTTAATAGATAACCAGCATTCCATAATATTGTCCCACTTTGGTTATCTTTATATTATAGATTAGTTGAATGAAACCTACGAAGGTGCCAACACAATCACATTGCAAGTGTACCTAAATACAGAATCATCACGCTTACCGCTGACTCGTTTGCTGTAGTATCAAAGAACGAAGCCTCAGTCTTTAAGTCCAGCATTATAGCCTTCAGAGATTCGATTTGCGTTTCTACTGTCTTGCCTCTTCTTTTCAAAATCTCGATTGTTTGCTTAGATGTTCTATCGGCATAATAACCTTCTCCTAAAAGGACCTGTAGTTACAACTCAAAATTAGCAAATACAAGCACGAAATAGCCTTCTCCAAAGGAATTGTACTTACACTCGAAATTCGAACCTTAGAAGATGCAAGTTTGAAGACCTCTGGATATTTGGGTTGATAATTTAGCCAAAACAAATGCCATGTAATACATTAACCACAGTGAAGTGCTTAATGAAATTACGTTAAACCTCTTGAAGATATTTTGCGATGTTATTAACCACTATATCGATACCTGACATGCTATTAACCCATATATTGGTACCAAATAACTAATAAAATTGATAACTCGATGAAAAAGTTCGGCTACCAGAAATTCATTGGTGTGGATCAACCGTCCTGGGAAAAACGCTGCCTTTCCAAATGGAACCTATCGATTAACAGAATTCAAGCTATCATTTCAGAGTTTTAACACGATGGCAGCGGATAACACTGAAAATAAAATAAATGGAAAACATTCCTAGGGAAAAATGTGAGTTGAACACTGACCATTATATTGTGGTGGGTTTCATCTGGGAGCTTCTGGACAAGGTTTATGAGGCTAACATTGTCATCAACGAAGCCCTTGAGCTGATTGAGTTGCTGCTGGCGCTCGTCAATGGCCTCCTGCACACGCTTCGAAGCTTTCTGCGCTTCCTCCGGTGGGAACATGGACGATAGTTGCGTGACTGTACCCTTCTTCTCCATGGGTGGTGACTGCATAAGTGCTTCCCTGCACTTCTAGAGTTTACAGTTGTACGAGCGAATTGGGGTTCTTCTTCTACAGTAGTTCACAACGTCCCACTACCAGCCAGTCCCCTGCCCGCACAAATTATAAAAAATCACAATTTTAGATAACACTCATAAGTGAGAATTCTATTTATCAGCTCAGGCACGCATCACAACCAAATTCAAAACACCCCATCACAGTAACAACTCCCAAGTCCCAAGCTCATTAAAAAAATTTAAATCCAATATCAGTTTCAACACAATCCGCAGTTAAACAAAAGGCACAAGCTCTGACACAATTTTAATCACAGCCGAATGGACCAAAAAAAAATCACCTAAAGCAGAAAAACCCTAGGTCGAGATTTACGATATGAGATGTGGAGCTGGCTTACCTTGAGGCCAAACAGCCGTGAAGAGTTGGAACCGTGTCTGGGAGCTCACCTTTAGATCGACGGCTTCAAGCCAACAGCATCGTCTGGGAGTGCACGAGTGGGTCGGCCGGCAGCTGGGAGATACAAGTGTCAAGAGGCTAGTGAGGCAGGTACGGGTGGAACCAGTCCGGTTCTTTGTGTCATCGAGAAATCATTTTTTTTTTTTGGTCAGGCTAGTGAGGACTAAGATAGGAAAACTACAGAAAGTGGAAAGAAGTTTGCAGGTGACAAGGGACTGAGGAAGAAGAATTAGGGCATATAGGTCGGGTTTGAGAAATCGAGTTTGAAGGGATTAAAATGGAGTGCAATTTTGTTTAGTTGATACTTGATAGCAGAGCTGTCAAAACGACCGATGGGGCGGGGTCGGGGCGGGCCTGAGAAATGCAGGTCTAACCTGTCCCAGCCACGAGCGGCGGGTTTGGCAAGCCAGGCCCGCGATTTACAAAAGAAATGCTTTATTATATAAACAAATACAAGCATATCCATTTTGTGTGTGAATATTTACAGATTTCCAAGCAATTACATCAGTTACAAATTCCCATAATTTCAGAAATAAATTCACGAATTCGGCAGTAATTCCACAAACAAATTCACAAATTCAGCAACAAGTTCACAACCAGTCAAACAACAGTCCCTGACACACAATCGAGAAAGATAACACAGCAGCCGATGACAATCAGAACACGCTGGTTTCGATTCTGTCGCCGTCGAGATTTAATGGAAATACGAGCGAATTGAAAATACCTGACAGCAGATATTTCGATTCCGGCGCTTCAACAGGAAAATCATCAGCTTCGAGCTTCGACGAGAAAATTAACGGCCGAATACATGGATGTAAGTGGAGGCGGAGGTCGGAGACTCGAAGGCGGAGGTTGGAGGCTGTGGTCGGAGGGGGGTCGGACGGGATGGAAGTGAGCTTCGATGTTTAGGGTTTTCCTTTTCTTACTTTTTTAAAATGGGCGGACGGAATGGAGAGGTTCTGTTTTGTTTCTGATTTTGTGACTAGAGAATTAAAATAAAAGCTCACATCAATTTTGGAGAGGATGGTGTTTTAATTTTTTTTTTTGTATTATTGTACTAGTATTTTGTTAAGTTAAATGATTATAGTAATTTAATAAATTATTCATTTTTTTATTTTAATGGCTAACCTAAAATCAGTGTTTTAAAACGCGTATCGCGTCGTGTTTTGGTGCTTATATTGTGTAGCGGAAATTGAGTAGTGCATTGCATAAGCGATTCGAACAATTCAATTTTAAAGTATAAAATAATAATAATATATATAAACATACAAGTAAATAAATAATTGAAATGGTCTTAAACATAAACTTAGACATTAAATCTATAAAATAACATTTAAATATTAATTCTTACAAACAACCGAGCTCTTAGTGTTTAAAGTAAAGACTCAAAATCTAAAAATAACTGGTGTCATCCAATGGTTTTTTCCCGTCTAAATTCATATTTCCACGATATCTCTATTTGCCGACATTTAAACTGAAAATGAAAAAAAAAA